GGGATTTGGTTTATAATGAATCTCTTAAACACACTCATCCTTCCACACCGCAGATAAAACAAAATCTAAATTATTTGATTCTATCTTTATTTCTTATGCACTACACCGTAAATATCTTATTCCTAATTTTCTGTTCGTTTCCTATCTTGAGTTACTTTAATCTATCCTATCACAGTTCCGACTCTCAGTATAGATTTCTTTATCTTATAATCTATAAATACCCTTGCATAGCTTCACTAAAATATATAAATATAAAATAAATATAAATATAAAAATATATAAATACATCGCATAATGTAATACAATACAAACACATAAAAATATCTCCTAGCATTTCTAATTCAGTATATTTTACACAGCTAGATCTTATTCCACTACCTACAATATATTACTCTATGACATTATCCCGATAATGTGTAATTATTCTCTCTTCATCAATTCTCTTTTTTCTAATCTCTTTTTTTCTTTCTCTCTTTAATTTATTTAAAACTTTACATTTTTCTGAATCTAATTCTTCGCTCCGAAATTTCCTCCATATTTCTTCCCTATCTTCTCCTAAATCCCTGAACCAATTACATATTTTTTGACGTTCCTCCACATAATTGTTCTATGTAATCCATCCTTATTCCGCAAAATACGCAGCTCCTATATTCCTTATCTAACCAATATTTATTTCCTTCCTGTATATTTCCGCATCTAAGTCTTACTTATCGATGTAAAATTTAATATAATGTATTTACGAATTACGATAGGCGAACTTGTTGGTAAACGATCGAAGCAACAGATTTTCTAATGCGAACCGGAGAAATCCTTTCGATTTTTTTAAACAAAATCATCCTCGAGGATGTACGTATGTCTCATTTCTTTCAAAGTTCGTTCTTGAAGATACTACCATTGTGCATTCAACATTAACATAATGAGTACTCGACAGACTTATCATCGTGATGACCTCGAGAAACGAACATGAGAGCCTTTGTCAGAGTCTCTTTGTCAGATAGCGTTTAATAGTAAATTTAGAGTATACTCGTGAGATGTCTACAAATTATACATACATCTGCAATTTTACTTCTCGACCTTTGTTTCTGCAGTCAGTTATTAGCTGCGTGAATGTTGTGTTAGAAATTCTTTTGCATCAGATTGCGTCAGATTATTATAAGTATGATACGCAAAGAAATTTATTCTGTTACATTTCCAACTGGATTCGCCGACTTTATATATGAATTGCAAAAAGTGACTAATTAAGGCAGCTGTGAAAATTAAAAAATATGGTAAAACTGGACAAAAGGGGATTTTTATCCGTTACGTTATGAAAGTTGAAAATGAGAATCTTGCGCCCCTTTGCAGGGGGGGGGGGGGGGAAGGAAGTGAGAGTCGAAGAGAGAGTCGTGCGTCCCTGAAGCACGGCAAATATAAAAATAATTAAATAAACTCGATATGTATAAAGAATTTTAATTAATAGATAAATCATTTAATGTATACATACAGCTCAGTCTTCACTTTTTGACTGTACAATTCTGGATGAGAGTCGCTTCACATGGAAAATCGTAAAATATGTTTTAAAGCAGAGAATTTTTGTTTCGTGTAATAGAAAAGAGACTTTATTTTTTAAACTTCTTTGTTAATAACTTTTTAACGAAAGACGACTGACGAAATTTGTTTAAGGTCACTCAGGGTCGTGACCTTGACATATGTCAAGATTATTGACGACTGCTACCCTTTTGTCCAGTTTTACTAAATTTTAGTATACATTTATTAAATTATATATGTGCCATTCTGTTCTACAACTTTTCTCCGTCTTTCAGGCAACTTGAAAATTTCATCTTTCCAGAATCTCTCAGGTTTTTCAGCGAAAAACTTTTCTAAGTGATTTTTTACGTCGACAAAGAGCTTTTTCCATTAAGAGAATTTTGTAATGATCGAAATAGGTGTCATGTTGTAATGATCGAAATCAGAGGGCGCGAGATCTGGTGAATATGATGGGGTAGAACATCCTAATCGAGCTCCAACAACTTTTGTTAAGTTATCAAAGACACATAAGGCCTCGCATTGTCCTGATGAAACACGATGCCCTTCCGATTCGCTATTTCTGGATGTTTTTGTTCAATTGCTGTCTTCAATTCGTCTAATTCATATAATTTATATAACAATACTTCTCTGAATTTATCGTCTCGTTGTTTGATAAAAGCTCATAATATAGGATCCCTTTCCAATCCCATCAGACACAGAGCATGACCTTCTTTGGATGAAGACTGGCTTTTGGGGTGCCTAAAGGTGATTCATTCTGCTTTCCCCAAGATCTTTTTTGCTCAACATTATTGTAATGATCCATTTTTCATTCCCCGTCAGTAGTTGCTTCAAAAATGGTGTCTCCTCGTTGCATTTATAGAACAAGTCGCAAATGGAAATGCGATCCATCAGATTTTTCTCCGTTAAATCATGGGAAACTCATACAGCAAAACGGTTTATTAGTCAAGCTTCACAAAATGCTCGTGGATAGTGGATTTTGACATATTCAACATTTCTGCTAATTTACGTATCGTATAGCGTGTTATTGTCGATCAGTTTTAATCTGATCTTCATCTGTGGTAGAGGGCCTACCCGGGCGTTTTTGATCTTCAAGGTTGAAATCATCAGCTTTAAACCTAGCAAACCACTTTCGCACAATTCTTTCAGCTACAGCACCTTCGTCATAAACAGCGCATATCTTGTTTGCCTCTTGTGTGGCATTTTTGCCTTTCCGGTAAAAGAAAAATATTGAATGCTTAAAATACACTTTGTTTTCTTCCATATTCAAAGACGTATAAAACTGACAAAAATTAACATATCGCAACCAAATTTTTTTCCAAATACGTATGCCTGAAGTACCGTCTTTTACGATATGTACGCATGTCATTTGTTTTCAATCGTTCTGATATTCAGACCTGTCCTTACGCCACCTAAAATCGACGCGAACTTTCCGGACAACAATATTACAGTTGTATATGACAATTCTTGCGTTCATTTTTATTAAAATGGTTATAAAGTTAAATATATTTTATATCCCTTTTTGATTTAATGTACATTGTTATTCATTACTTGTTGCTAATCAATACTTTTATTATATTATGTTGAGTTATTTATATGATACACGTTTACACTTATATAATTTAAGATGGGTCGCAGGAAAATATCTTTTTATTATGTTAAAAAAGTAATTAATTTAACGAGTTTGTGATAAATTTATTTCTTCAATGTATCGACATACGTAAACATTAGTTGGAGTCTGATCGATTTTATAGTTTAATATATATAGTTTTTCAGTTTAATAAATTAGTACATGTTTCCATTTTCCTTTTACATTAAACTTTCAAAATCGCACTTCGTTTATTGAAATAAAAATTTGCGTCATTTGTATTGTTCTTTCTTTTATTCGGGTTTATTATTCGCATAGATCATGCAAAGTATCTAACTGCAAATTCATTTTGCGAAATTATGTGTGTATTGATTATCGCAATTTTTACGTAATACTGTTAATTTTTTAGTTAAAATTTACATAAACATTATGATTGATTGCGATTATGATTGATGCTCATTTATTCTTTACTCTTTCTATGCAATTAAGATTTAATCTTATTAAATATAAAAAAAAATTAAAAATTATGTAAAATGATGCAAGATAAAAAACAAGGATCGATGTGATTATAAATCTGGAACATGAAATTAATTAATCTATATAAATCAAGACAATCGAATATATTAAAAAGCGAAAGGCATATAATAACTATGGTTGAACATAATATTTGCATTGTAGATGGATCGTATTAAATATTTTATTGTTTTATGCACTAAATAAAAATTTTTTTTATTTTTTTTTCAAAACTGATTATTTTTGTTTATGATATGTTTATTTTTTAGGCCAGATAAACAGATTAATTCTCACTATGCGATTAATTTGCAAAATACAAAAACCGTTTTCTCAGCGCAACAAATGATTTTATTTTTGTCATTGCTAATGGCAATAGGAAAACCAATAATTTGATGCCTCTCGATCGTAATGTGGGGTAACGAAGTTAAAAATTGATATGATCAATATTCGTGGTCATCTGCATAAAACACAAATAATTCGATATTTTGTTTTTTATAAGATAAATTTCTTTTGCATATCCGTCTCACAATAATTCAGTCGAAATAACGATTAAACAAACCGGTTTTTTATGCGATTATCCTTCACTTTTGCATTTAATCGGTTTTTCCTAATTACTTATTTATTAGAACGACAATAAGTTGATTCGTCATTTGCAAATAACAATGTAAAGCTTTTATAAATATCGCAACGTCAGATTGTGTGTATAATAGATATGTTCAGATATGTACATATACATATATATACATATACATGTACATGTATGTATTATATATTACAATTTATATCACAAATTTTTAATAAGAGGATAACGAAATCAATTTTTAATAAGAAGATAATGAAATTAATTTTTAACAAGAAGATAATGAAATTAATATTTAATAAGAAGATAATGATTCATGTTTTATTTACATATGCATGAGCATGATTCTTTATCCGAAAGAGAATGTATTATATGGAACATAATAAACATGATATTTTTAATATAAGGTGGAGTTAGTAATTAACAAGACAATTGGAAAAAAATTATTTGATTTAGTTCGTAGAGTCTAGATTTATCTCGTAATATATGTAGATATATCGCATAAACTTGTTTCTGTCTTTGTAAAATAATTTTTTTGTAGCTGTTGCACATTTTCTCGTAACACTATTAATCATCACATTTTATCGATCAACTTTTTTTTTAATTGGCTTTACTGTTGCACAGTATATTTATTCTTTTATTATTGCTTAAATGTTTATTCACTCAGTCGATTCGAATATTATTAATTCTTTATACATATAAACGGTATTTTAACAAACAATTAGTACATTTTTTTCGTTATAATTAAATCTTAATTATAAATTATTCTGACATATGGTCCTAATTTCGTTTCAGGTTGAACCAATAAGGCATGTAAGAGCAGGAGTCATCGAGAACGATAAAAGCGAATGTGACAAATTGCAAAGTGAAAATTGAAAGAAAGTACAGTGAACGTGCGCACTCAATCTGAGACATTGTGACGTTTCTCTTCTTTATTTTTTATTTGTGTGTCGCTAGCGAGTTTGTGTTCCGAATCATCATCTTATCTGCATTTGCTATGACCACTCCGACGCCTTGTTCGCCATCGCGATCTTCTCTGAACTGCTGCCAGTTCGACCACAGCAGTCAAGACGACATGCGAGACTCGGCTATTATACGCAACAACAATTATTTTCTACAGCAGGAGAAATACTCTTTTCCAAAGAGGCCCGAACTTGACCTGACGTTCCGCGATATACGCTATCGCATTAAGGAATGGAGCGTACGCAACTTCTCAATCAGTAAGTATAAATAATATATTATTGTTTATAAATAGTATAATACATTAATAAGTAAGAAAATGTAAGTATTTAAAACTCCGTTTCGAGTTTTAAATACTTATATTTTAATTATTATTATTAACTTTTATTTTCTTATGGGCAAGTGAAAATAACTCCTCGATTTTTTTCTTTGTGTTTTCTTGAAACATTTATTTTTGCGATTGTTTACATTATCTCGTACGTTTCAGCTCATCTTCAGCGAATGTTTGAATGTTCGTGATTAATTTTTTCACATAATGTTCATTACTGATTTGCAACGGGTGTAATCTCGAATTTCCTAGGTTGAGTTTTTATTCTGTCCAAATTAATTTTTGGAATAACACTGTGATTAATAATTTTATATGAATATTTAGTCTTTAAATTGAAATTTCGAATAACTTATCCGTTGTTTGCCAGAATGAGAAGTACATTTTGTTTAATGATATTTTAATTATAACATTTTTCAGTGCTTATAATTGTCTTCTGTTGCGATACTAAGTAAAAATATTAGATATTGTTAGTCAATGAACGAATCAAGATTGAACGAATGATCTTACGGAATTAGAAATTCTTTATAATGCTCGTGTACGCATGTGCAAAAATTCGGTGTCGATTTTTTAATGCTGTTTTCTTGCATTATAATATGCAGCTCTGATATTAGTCTCTTACCCAAATATCTTTTGTTGTCCAATATTTTTATATCTTCCCACTCAAAGTGGGATTTTTATATCCTCCCACTCATGGTTATATTGCATTCTATGCTCTGTGATGACAGACGGGTTGGCAGTATTTTTGTTAATATTGTTACAATGTTCATTGATCCTAGTTTTTAATTTTAAATCTTCCGGCGTGTTCCACGTACGAAGCATTGCAATCTTTGCACGATATTCTGTATATTCTATATAATAATTCCGGCAAATACGCTACGCTGGGATTTATGCTGCAGAAGAAAAAAATAAAAGGAGAGGGGATAATTTTTCTGCACTACTCTGTTACGTACCTTCTTTCACTACTCTGTTTCATATCTGTTATATACATCTCTCTGTTATAGTACATTAGTTGTGTTATGATTTCAGCTTCTTACAGTTAATATTAATGAAATTATTGTGAGTTGAATCGATTTGTCATAAGTAACGTCATCATAAATTATAATCTACATAAAATAGTTATTATAGAGTGTGTAAAAGAGTGGTTATTTCGTGATACATACGTGTAGTGGAATAGTAAAGCATGTTGTATAGCAAAATACAAGTGCTTTGCTTTCATATTCTTTGTTTAGTTTGTTGTCTTGTATATCCCACCTGTTTGGGATGTACAGCATTTTTAGCGGACGGGATTTATGCCCAAAACATAGATAAAGCGCAGATTGAATTCAGTGCATTAAATGCAATAAACGCAGTATATAAAATATGTACCTCATGTCACAACACTTGTAATATGTGTAGAAAGATTGTAATTATTATTTATTTCCTATACATTTACCATTCTTATTGCTTAATAGAACTTCATAAACACATTTTACACATTTTATTGTCATTTTACGTCTTATTTATATGCATTAATTGTAAATTTTTCATGAGCCGTACATATCCTCCCCCTCCCGCTATGAGTAGTCATATATTCCACTCCTATGGAATATTCGGCAAAAATGCAAGGGTTTCAAAAAGTTTATTTTTTTAATATAAAAAATAAATAATAAAGATTTCTAATATTTTTTTCATAGTAATAGACAGTACAAATCATCAGTTTTTACTAATATAATTCGTTTACTTTAAATATAATAAATAATATTTAATAAATTAAGTTTTTGATAGGTGCGGCATATATATCAGAGTTATATATCCTATTACATTTTTCTTTGATTCAAATGGGAGGATATCTTTTTGTGTTTTATTATCCTGTCTAGGTTTATTAATGCTGAAATAGGTTAATTTTGATGTGAGATATAAAAAAACTTTATCTTTACAATAAATTCTATGTCTATTAACATTATTGTGATAACATCATTGCGTTTATTATATATCTGAAGAGGGCCTAATCGAAAGATCGAAACATATTATAACGTAATTTAATTATAATCAATTAGGATTTAATGATTTCTATCTTGTAATATCTTGATTTTTTAATATAAAATTTGTATTTTTAGATAATTATATAAGCTCTTATATAAGCTCTAAGCGTCTTATATAAGCTAAAACTCTTATATACCTTTTATTATATTTAATTTTTATGAATAAATATAATAGTGGACTGTTGATTAGATGAGATAATAACACACAGACGAATTAAGAAACGGAAACGAGAGTAATTATTTCTTACGTAATTTTTCACATTGAATCGAAATCTGGCAACAGAATTGTTCCATCACGTTCCATTTCGAGATATCGATCGAGATTCTAACCTAATATTACAAAAAACGCTTTTTTTTAGTATATCCGAGTTTCTGCCGTATTTAGAGTGTATCTCTCTCAATTATCATTAGCATTAATTTTACATGAAAGTACTAAATCTTACCTTTCAAACCTATATTGTTTTAACCCGATATCCGATTTTTTTTGCAGTTAACTAATAAAGTCAATCAAAAATCATTTTTTAATGCTTCACTATAAGAACTTTCAAGAGTACAAAAAATTTGAGATGATAAATTGAATTTTCGGAGTTTCAGTAACAACTGGGTAAATGATATACGTAAATATACTGTCAAGAAATGGAGATATATTTCTTATTCATTGGCAGAAAATTGAACTAAAGTTTTCAAATTCTAAGTCTTTAATATCTAAACTCCTGAGCTATAAATCACCAATCCTTAAACTTTAAAATCAATTTTGATTTATAATTTTATAAGCAAAAAATCAATTCTGAAAATTTTAAACGCGTTTTTTTCAAAACGAGGTTTTCAAAGTCAGTGTACACGATAACTTTTACAATTCTTAATTGACTCACTTGAAATTTGCACAGATTACTTTCAGATTATTTAATGTAGATACGTATGTAGGACTTTTGCGATATATTGAAAACTTTTTTTGTTATTATCATTAAATGATAACATTTTTTGACCGAAAATGTTACTTTTTCTTCAAACATTTACCATTTTTACAAAAATAAATATTTTGAAATAATCCTATGTACTTCTCTAACTATAAGAATATAGATAATAAGAATTTTTGGATTTTTGTTTCATCTTAAAAGATATAGAAAATTCCATGCACACCGCATACGCACTGGCCAAAAAAAGAGATTTGATGCTGATGTAGTACCATTTTGTGATAAAAATTAAAAAAAAATTTTTTGTACTCTTGAAAATTCTTATAGTGAAGCATTGAAAAATGATTTTTGATTGACTTTATTAGTTAACTGCAAAAAATTACCAAAATTTGGTATCATTTTTAGGTCTCAAGGGTAGTTCCCCCTTAACGTCATTAACATTTGTGACATGCATTTCAAACGCGATATTTCTTGTTGAAAATCAGGAAAATTTCTCAATAAAAAAAAAACGGAGATGTAATAAATTATTTACCGCAATTGATTAAGAAATATAATTGATTGATTGATTAAGAAATATATTTCTCATTCCATAATTTAAAAAAAATATTTTCTAATTTTTTAAATTTTATAACATTCCATTAGAAATTATACTTACAAAAAATCTTAGAATTTACGATATTTCATAATTAACATACAATAGAAAATTCTGAAAAAAGACGTAAATTTTCTGAGAAGTATTCCACTTTGTCTAAAAAATGTGAGAAAGTTATAAAATCATATATTATAGAAATTCTGAAAAATTATATAAAAAATTCTGAAAAAAATTTTCACCAGGGATACTTCCAGAGATACTTCCTTAAACTGTATGAAATAAAATTACAATACAGTATCATTCTTTAACTTTTAACATCTTCTATGATATATTTTTTTGTTTGATTATCATTTAATTCTTGGGTTATCAAAGATTATTATCACATTAAAGCTTATACTTATTCCTTAGTTTTAACATTGAACAATTTTTTTGCAGTTTTATTTTTTATATGATCGTTATAAAAATATTTTGTAGGTATAATTTACGAGATTTCGTATTTTTAAAATAATCTTACTACACAAAAAGAGAGAGAATGATTTAAAATATGGTTTCTATATTTTTCAAAACATATAATATTAATATGGATATATTATTATTATTATTTTGTCACATTTATATATTTTCGTATATGTTACGAATTTGTATAAATGTAAATGCATTAATATTATTGTAATATAAATTTCTATGTCTTATAAAATAATAAATTTGGAATTTAACATTATTATGATAGAATTCTTTTTAGATTCATAAAGATATAGTCGCACGTGAGTGAAAGCAGATTGTAATTATTACAGTGCTCGCAAATTGTTCAATGAGACTATGAGATAATGAGAGACTAAAGATATTTTTAATCTTGAATAACTCGCAAAAATTCCATAATGATACAAGAAAACGAGAGTATATTAAAGATTTTAATTGATTTAAAATATTGTTCAAATATATGTCAATGTGCGTGTCACATAAAACACATATTGAAAAAGACCCTTGTGACGTTTAAAATAATAATTTGACGATTAATTGCTTTAACAATCATATATTGCGTGACGTACAATACTTCAAGAGAAAGTATTTGTATCATATAGCTGTACGATAAAAGAAGTATACGATGAAGAAAGTTTTAAACGGAGAAAGTCGCGCCGCACGTTTTGAAAATATAACGTACAAAATTCACGCGGCGTAGAATTATAATTAACAATAAATTATCGGCTATTTCGAAATATGGCAATAGGATGTCAATGTAAGAATATAATCGAAAACAAAATTTAATGAATTTAATGAAACAAGTCATGATTCTTAGCAGCTAAGCATTTTATTATTAAATTAAATATGTTGAGAAGGAGAAAGAGAGAGAGAGAGAGAGAGAGAGAGAGAGAGAGAAAGAGAGAGAGCATAAAAGAATAAAGAATCACAATACACATTTAAAACTAGAACAGAAACATTCACTGCAATATAAAAAAAATGTGTCTCTATTAATAGTGTCAATACTAAAATTATAATGCAATTATCATTTTCTCCTGTTGTTATTACTTCATTTATTTATATTATTAATATAAAAAATTATTGTTTCTAACTTATTAATACTTATACTATAAAAATATACT